ATGTTGGCAATGGACACTCGGTATAAAATTCCACTTCGTAACAGTTCCAAACCTACAAATGAGACGTATGCAGAAGAGCCTGCTCCATGTCTTGACCAAAATCAAAAACTAAAAACTCGCTTCCAGGGATTAAGTACGTCACGCAGAAATATTACATAACATGGATACTACAGAGCTTTAGAGCTCTGATTGAATATAAACACTGAGGCATCCAATAGTAAGGATAGAACGAACTTCCAATCATGTTCAGTATTGTCCATTAACATTCATTGAGAGGACATGTTGATGGAACTGATATTTTAAGAACAGGACAGTGCTGTTAACAGGAATTAGCAAACATCATCTTTTTAGGGCTGCTGTACTGAACTCAGAGATCTACGACGATCTCGAATCGCTGAAATCATCCAAGATACTGGGTACATTGTGCAATGAAATTATGATTCCATCGAAATTTAAGTAATATGACCAAAATGGAAAAAAAAAAAAAATAGTTCTTTGTACAGTTCTAAAATGTATCTCTACTAGTTCTTTATCCGTATACATTATTTCCCTTAATCAGGTATTCAATATGCATATAAATCCCAATAGGAGAAGCACAAGTAATTAACATAACACAGATGTTTCTAGTTTTGCATCTGCCATCAGTCTGCAACCACTATTTAGTTCTACTCCGGACTTGTCCATAAAAACTGCTTCATATCCATTAGCTTTCATGAACTTCTTCAACAAAAGAACAACTATGGCAATGGTAAGCCCAACAGCTGCCCATGTGAACAAGTGATCTTGTTTGGAAATTGTTGGTTCTGGCTTACACTACTTCAGTTCAGTTGTAGACATGGCAGCAATTGGTTGTGAATTCTGCACAACAATTGCATTTGATGGGGTCTCATTTGGTTCTTCAGCCACAATCCCATCTTCTACAACTAAATTTTGAAGCTCTTCCTCAACACCCTCAATTTCATTCTCTTCAATAGTAGCCTGTACTTTGGAACCCTGGCTGCCTTGAGGAACTGGGGGTGCTTTGGGTAGCATAAATTCATGAATCTGCATAAACAGACCTTTAGTATTAAGATCCTAGATTATGCATATATCTGGAACAGTAGGACACTACAAACCTCGTCAATAAGCTTTTCTCGTTCAGGAGACCCAAATTTTGGAGCACTGCAAATATCATCCGTAGATGAGGTGTCATAACTTTTT